CTCGCACTATGTCTACATTCTCTAGCGGCACAAATATTCCTATTATTTTACAATCGGCCAGCGATTTTTGAAATCATTTATTGTAACGTACAGATAACCGAGTTGTATTAATTGTAACATGAATATAAAATTAAATTTTACAATAAACTATAGAAATAATTTATTACTTCTAAGCGCGTATTGTTAAACTGTAATTTATGTTTAGTAATAAATTAGAATATTGTTAAGATGATTGCTCTCCTTTCATTTTAAAAACCAAAAACGACCTCGTACTCCATCGCCTTTCAGAGATCGCACGTGGTCCAGTCCTGAGTTATAGGGATTAGGTTCCTTGACTCGAAATCAGGATCGACGTACGCACTGCTCGTAGGAAACAGGTGTTATAGCGTCCCTTCGGGACGTTGACCCATATTCCGGAGCGATAAGAAGGTCCGACTCTCAGGTATTCGCCTCTGCGCGTATACCTGTGAGATAAAGTCTGCACGTCCTTCGGTACCCTCTCCATCTCCATCCTTGTCTCTCCCATTCGATTTCAAATTTCCAAGGGCTTGGACGTAACAGTATGTACGTAAACATTTATGTTAAACAAATTTATTGTAAGCTACATTTATTGTAAGCTACTATTTATTGACAGTTTGCATCAAAATGTTTGCAGTTTGAAACATTTAAAGATTTTTTAAACTATTTAAGTACTATAATTTCATATAACATTTTATCAGTACAAATATTGAAATTATGAAGAATGTATATGATACCATAAACAGGAAAATGATAAAAGTTATATTACACATATACAACAAATAAAAAATAAAGTATTATAAAATAAAAATCAAATAGAAAAGTTGTAATTTAGTCTGACTTTGATTATTTATTAGCGTAATTAAAACTATACATATATAATGCATATATCTTAATTTTAATGAAAAACATAACTAAATCTCATTCATTCAATTCAGATACACAAGCTCCAAATTTTATCAAGTCAATGATTGTTTCCATGTACTCTACTCTGATCTTTTCGAAAATAATTCGGACTATAGAGGACAAAACAGATCTATTGTAGTGTGTCAACGGATAACAGAAGCTGTTATCCGTTGATAACAAGCAATATATGTGGATTTTAATGTAATTTTTAAAAAGATATTATAAACACATGCGCGCATGTATGTATGTACATATGTATGAATGTATGTATGTATACATTGTGCCTCATTTTAACTTTCATATAGTAGTATCCCGAAAAGTACTAAAAATAAAAAAAAATGTTTTTGATAGTTCGGGGGTGGCACATTTTGGACAAGTTATTTTTTTCTAGATGAAGACGCCAAAAAGGTATGAAGGTCATATTTGCTTTTAAATGGAATTTGTGATTTTTTTACAGAATTGTTGTTAGACCTCCAATAGAACACGTGCACGTTTATTCGTGATATCATTAATTTTTCCAGTGTCTTAATTTTTTCATTTCAGTTGCCATTTTGGATCCGTTATGTTAAATTTTCAAAAACGCCACCTAATAAGTTAGAAACATTTAGAAACATTTCAACAATATTGTAGCAACGTTGTAACATTGTTACAATGTTGCTGAAATGTTTCAAAATGTTTCTTATTTGGTATACGGCATCAAAAAATAAACATTTCAAAGAAAATTTTGAGCCTTTGCAAAGAATTTTATCTCAAAAATTGAAATGTGTAGAGAAGTGGTTGATTCGAGAATGCCCCAAATATACAGGGTGTCCCGATATTTTTTGCCAAGCTCTCTTGTGTAGATAGAGAAGATTAAACTGAGCCGAAAAGTTCTGTACTTTTTCACAATAGTTAATAAGATATCAATTACTAAAAATTGTCGAATATGTATATTGGTCTCCGATAATTTTTTTCTCAAATATTATCAACTTTACAAAAAAGCTTCAAAAGACAATCATTATTTATTTTGTTCTCATAGAGCCCTAAGAATTTTTTCAAAAATTTTATCAACTTTTTAGTATCGCCTTTTCTTATTAACAACTATTTTTACAAACATAAGAAAATAGGGTATTAAAAAATTCCGAAAAAATTCTGAAAAAATTCTCAGACCTTTATGAGAAGAAAATAAACAATTTTTGTTTTTCGCTGTTTTATATACATATATGCGCGCGCATGTGTGTAATATATACA